AAAGATATCACTGGAAGAGCCGCCCTTAGCCTGGATACAGACGGAAGATATCTCTAAAGATATCACTGGAAGAGCCGCCCTTAGCCTGAATACAGACGGAAGATATCTCTAAAGATATCACTGGAAGAGCCGCCTTTAGCCTGGATACAGACGGAAGATATCACTAAAGATATCACTGGAAGAGCCGCCTTTAGCCTGGATACAGACGGAAGATATCTCTAAAGATATCACTGGAAGAGCCGCCTTTAGCCTGGATACAGACGGAAGATATCAGTAAAGATATCACTGGAAGAGTCCCATAGTCCATATAATTATTATGTGACTTAAATCACATTTGAATATAACTAACAGTAATAGCATTACATCATTTTCTGCATGTATTATGTAATGAATATATAATGGATACTTTTCAAAAATATAAAAGGAAAAACTCACTTGTGCTCTTGTGCTGCAGGATGGTGAGCGTTTAAATTCCGAGGGCGCGTGAGGGAGGAGCTGTGTAGTTGGAGCAAAGTGGGAAGATCTGCCTGCTGGACAACTAGCTGTTAATGTGCAGGCAGGCGGATGCAGCTAAACCAATGGAGGTAGAGGCCACACCCTAAAGGATGGAGCCGGCGAGTCAGGAGGGGCCTGGGCTTGAGCTACTCAACACCTCAGGAGGGGCCTGGGCTTGAGCTACTCAACACCTCATCACTTTGGGAGGTTTCGTTAAGCTTAACCGCTTGCCTTAGACCATAAATGACAGTGTGCTTGATATTTTAACTTAACTGTCTAGGGAACATGTAAATGTGTTTTTTACTCATATTATTATGGACTGAGTATAACCTAACAACGGTAAACTTGAAAATAGACTCCTCTTGTATTTATTGTTTGTTAGATCATGGATATAGATTTGGTTGCAGGATGCTGTATTGCACTATTGATGATGTGCATTATATTGTAAAGTATTCTTGCACAATGTTTTTGTTGTATTTGGCTATATTGCATAATCTATATTGCATTTGTCTGTTATGTTGCATTACTTCTATACATGGTTATTCTCCAAAGTTCTTGTCCTGCACAAAACCAAAACCACTTTGTATGGGCATGAAATTATTGTGTGAAGTTTTGAGTTCTTAGTTATCAATGTATTAATTATGCAGCTGATACAAGCAGCTTCCAGACATTCCTAAAGGAGAACCATCAAAGCATTTGGAGATTAGTACAGCACTCAGTTTACAAAGCGTAACCCAGAGAGATAGACAACAGCCCAATCTCTAACCGACTGAACTAATCAGCCCCTTGGCTGAACATTAACTGGCCAAAAAACTACAAAACAGACACAAGCTTGAACCTTTAGCAGCTCTAACCAGTTTAGCTATCCAGCTCTCTAGCTTGCCTAATACTGTATGTCCTGGAAGATTAATGCCTGCAATGAAATGAGCTGATAAAGCAAGTCTGACTGCTCTGCTCCAGTCGCAGGTGTGCGCCAGGTGTGTTCGTGACGTTTCATTGACATTTTTCCAGTTTACAAGACTAAAGACCTATGATAATATTAAACACAGTTGATTTTAGCGGGTCATCAAGACGAGAAAAAGCCTGACTTAAGACAGCAATCCTGACCCCCTTACACCAAACGATCGAGACGACAGGAATGCACCACAACTCAAGCAAATTGCTCATGATTTTATTCTGACACTGGAAATCTGTGTGCAGCAGTGAAATCACTTGAAAAGTTGTTTGGTGTAAGGTCAGCATAAATTAAGCTACTTCAAGTCTTTCTTGGGACGGAAGCGGCAGTTTCCTGCATCTGTAGCCACTGTATGCACTATCTGCATGTTAGCATGCAGGGAGGTTTGTCTGAGTATCAGGGAAAGGGTTGACTTAGATCTTAGAGGGCAAGTCTGGTCAAAGGAGACCTCTGTGATTGTATTCTGCTAATGTCAGAGCTTGAGCGTGCTGCGTGACCCCAAGCCTTCCAAAGGATTATCCTGGGCTGCAGGAGTCTGCGGGCACACTTGTGCTTCTGGCTGGACATCTTGTACATATGGTCTTAGGACTGGCCACAGGACTTTGTGTCTCTGACAGCTGCGTTTTTTTTATCTATTTGATATCTAGGTAAAGCTGGTGATACCTGATGAACCTGCCTGTATTGGAAATACAGAATCTCACTATTGACTTGACTTAGGCTTACATGCCTGAACCACTAATGGACGTGTAGTAAAGCTGACAGAACTGCTTGCGATGAAACGTCTGCTTGTGTGTTTTATATTTTTATAAATACCATGCAGCTTTAATATAAACTGCCAGCCAAACCTAGATCAATGGGATAACATGGTTTATGTTATTCTGAAAGTGATCGATACAGTGTTTATTAACAGCACACTGAAACACAAGGAAATGTATAAGGATGATACTCTCCTTCTGCATATTTGCAATACAGTCGTCCTTCGCCATTTCGCGCTTCGACTTTCGCGGCTTCACTCTATCGCGGTTTTTTGAAATACATTTATTCATTAAAAAGTTGCTGGACAGTGAAAATGATACAGCGCGCGCTCAGTTGTCTAAGTCAATTATACACCTCTGTATTACAATTAAAATTAAAATTACTGTACGTATGAACTGTAGGTCTATGTATTTGAGCACCCCCGCAAATGCTTCAACACCAGGTGCAGCCGAATAATAAAGAAATAAAGAATCCTACCTCGCGGAAATTCATTTAACGCGTTAGGGTCTGGAACGGATTAACCGTTCTCTTGAAATTATATAAATATAAATCTATATAATAATTTGAATGGTGCCCCTCAAGGATGTGTCCTCTCCCCACTGCTCTTCTCCCTCTACACCAATGACTACACCTCCAGGAACTCAGCTGTAAAACTCCTGAAGTTTGCAGACGACACCACCATCATTGGACTCATTCAGGATGGTGATGAGTCTGCATACCGGCAGGAAGTTGAGCGGCTGGTACTCTGGTGCAGTCAGCACA